GTCAGGACCAAGGGCATAGGTTTGCGCTTGACATTGGTGGGGACTGGGGACGAGTCACCCCCGCCAAGAATGAATATATATATATATATATATATATATATATATATATATATATATATATATATATATATATATATATATATATATATAGATATATATATATATATATATATATATATATATATATATATATATATATATATATATATATATATATATATATATATATATATATATATATATATATATATATATATATATATATATATATATATATATATGTATATATATATATATATATGTGTGTGTGTATGTGTGTGTGTGTATATATATATATATATATATATATATATATATATATATATATATATATATATATATATATATATATATATGTATATATATATATATATATATATATATATATGTGTGTGTGTCGCATACGCTTTAAAAAAATTGAGGAAGACCAATAAATCTTTCTGGAAAAGCAAAATCTGTGTGTGTGTGTGTGTGTGTGTGTGGGGTATTAAATATCAGCATTTATGGATAAAATAATATGCCACAGTCACAATATTGTTAAAAAAATCTAGATCAGAATTCTGACAAAAAAATATAAATATTTTACAGTTAAAAATCTAAATCCGGTATTAAATAATTAAATCTTAACCAAATAGAAATCTCATCCTATAACTTTTTTGAAAATTTGCATTCATAAAAACACATACATTCCAATGTCTGCTTCACAAAAGGTACACACAATACAATCCATATTAAATCTATGTCTGAGGAATTCATAAAAAGAACAATTATCATTAATAATTTTAAACTTAACTTCTTTTTCCTTTGGTAGAAGTGGAAAAGAAATAAATCTTGTTTGAATTCAAACCATGTTGTCTTCAGCAATATCTAAAACAAGGGGTCTCTTCTAAACTTTAGAAAGGAAAAGCTGTGTTTTTACTAACATTCAAGTCTTATTAGTACAGCTTTGCCCAGTAAAATAAATACTAGAACTAATAAGATTGCTCAATCTTGGTATCACAGAAGAATAACCCAATTCATTTTTGATCGGCTGAACTAAATTACCAGGAATAGCTTTTCAATCCCATCCAAAATGTGTATAATAGACCAAACACCTTTGTCCATCCACTCCTGAAAAAAACACAAATTTCCTTTTAATATTGATATACTTTTTATTCCACAAAAAAGCAACTATGTGTTGAAAAATTGTGTTTGTGTATTAACTTCCAATACAGCACCTGACTATGAAAACATGACAATATGCACTTTGATTTGGATGGCTCAGAATCTTAAAGAAATTTTATGCCCTTAAAAGAATCAAAAGTTTTAGAACAAAAACTAAACGAGAAAGAATGTTTATGTCGAAGGAAGGTTTGAAGCTACTTCAGCTTAAGGTTACCATTCATAACATCCAAATCAATTACATACAATCCTCCCTTATTGATTGGTTTAACTACATCTGATTTTTTATATAATAATGCTTATTTTTCCAAAAAAAAATTATATTGCATTTGATTCAGATTTTTAATGCACCTATCTGATATAGGCCTACTTAAAGAAAAGGCTGGGTAAATCATCCTAAAAATGCTTCTGATTTTTGTAAAATAATTCGACCAAAAATAGATCCCTTTGAACCCACACTTTTTATATATTTTGACT